AGTATACCTAGAAGACCCCATTGCCTCAGCCCAAAAACTCCTGAAACTGATAAGCAACTTCAGCAAAGTCTCAGGATATAAAATCAATGTGCAAAAATCACAAGCATTCCTCTACACCAATAACAGACTTAAAGCCAAAGCAAGAACAAACTGCCATTCACAATTGCTACAAAAAGAGTAAAATACCTAGGAATACAACTCACAAGGAACGTAAGGGACCTCTTCAAGGAAAACTACAAACCACTGCTCAACGAAATCAGAGAGGACACAAACAGATGGAGAAACATTCCATGTTCATGGTTAGGAAGAATTAATATCATGAAAATGGCTATACTGCCCAAAGTAATTTACAGAATCAACGCTATCCCCATCGAGCTACCATTGACTTTCTTCACAGAACTGGAAAAAACCACCATGAACTTCATATGGAACCAAAAGAGAGCCCACATAGCCAAGTCAATTCTAAGCAAAAAGAACACAGCGGGGGGCATCACACTACCGGATTTCAAACTATACTACAAGGCTACAGTAATCAAAACAGCATGGGACTGGTACCAAAACAGAGATATAGACCAATGGAACAGAACAGAGGCATCGGAGGCAACATAACATATCTACAACCATACAATCTTTGATAAACCTGACAAAAACAAGCAATGGGGAAAGGATTCCCTGTTTAATAAATGGTGCTGGGAAAACTGGCTAGCCATGTGCAGAAAGCAGAAACTGGACCCCTTCCTGACACCTTACACTAAAATTAACTCCAGATGGATTAAAGACTTAAACATAAGACCTGGCACCATAAAAACCCTAGAAGGAAATCTCGGCAAAACCATCCAGGACATAGGAGTAGGCAAGGACTTCACGAACAAGACACCAAAAGCATTGGCAACAAAAGCCAAAATAGACAAATGGACCTAATGAAACTCCACAGCTTCTGCACGGCAAAAGAAACAGTCACTAGAGTGAATCGGCAACCAACAGAATGGGAAACAATTTTTGCAGTTTACCCATCTGACAAAGGGCTGATATCCAGAATTTACAAAGAACTCAAACAGATTTACAGGAAAAAAACAAACAAGCCCATTCAAAAATGGGCAAAGGATATGAACAGACACTTTACAAAAGAAAACATAAATGAGGCCAACAATCATATGAAAAAATGCTCATCATCACTGTTCATTAGAGGGATGCAAATCAAAACCACATAGAGATACCATCTCACGCCAGTTAGAATGGCGATCATTAAAAAATCTGGAGACAGCAGATGCTGGAGAGGATGTGGAGAAATAGGAACACTTTTACACTGTTGGTTGGAGTGTAAGTTAGTTCAACCATTGTGGAAGACAGTGTGGCGATTCCTCAACGCCTTAGAAATAGAAATTCCATTTGACCCAGCAATCCGATTACTGGGTATATATCCAAAGGACTATAAATCGTTCTACTATAAGGACACATGCACACAAATGTTCATTGCAGCACTGTTTACAATAGCAAAGACCTGGAATCAACCCAAATGCCCATTGATGATAGACTGGACTGGGAAAATGTGGCACATATACACCATGAAATATTATGCAGCAATCAGAAATGATGAGTTCATGTCATTTGTAGGGACATGGATGAATCTGGAGAACATCATTCTCAGCAAACTGACACAAGAACAGAAAATGAAATACCACATATTCTCACTCATAGGCGGGTTATGAAAAATAGAACACATGGACACAGGGAGGGGAGTACTAAACACTGGGGTCTATTGGGGGGAAAAGGGGAGGGCCAGTGGGGGGTGGGGAGGTGGGGAGGGATAGCCTGGGGAGAAATGCCAAATGTGGGTGAAGGGGAGAAAGGAAGCAAAACACACTGCCATGTGTGTACCTATGCAACTGTCTTGCATGTTCTGCACATGTACCCCAAAACCTAAAATGCAATACAAATTTTTTAAAAAAAAAGTTTGTTTTGCAAGATAAAGTTCTAAAGATCTGTTGCCCCTCAACGTGAATATACTTAACACTACTGAACTGTATACTTAGAAATGAGAATGATGATAAATTTTGTTAGGACTTTCATCACAATTTTTAAAAAATTTAAAGGAAAATAAAATAACCCCTGGTCTTTAGGAACATATCCTACACACTCAAAAAAGTGACTGAGCAAATTGCGGTATGCACCAAGTGCACAATATAGGCAGCGAATATGAGTATGACAGAATAAATGACCTGCGAGACACATACAGGATGGGACCATCAGGCCAGAGGCGTTTGAGTTGAGTTAGATCTTAAAGGTGAGAAGAATTCCTTCAGTGCTGAGAAAGGAGAGGGGCTTTTTAGAATAGGTAAACAAATGAGAAAGATGAGGAGGCAAGAATAAAAGAGATGCGTCTGGGATTGTATTGATGTCAGTTTCCTGGTTAACACTGTCCTGGGCTGGGCGCAGTGGCTCACACCTGTAATCCCAGCACTTTGGGAAGCCGAGGCAGGCAGATCATGTGGTCAGGAGTTCAAGACCAACCTGGCCAACATGGTGAAACCCTATCTCTACTAAAAAAATACAAAAATTAGCCAAGCATCATGATGCATGCCTTAATCCCAGCTACTCAGGAGACTGAGAGAGGAGAATTGCTTAAACTCAGGAGGTGGAGACTGCAGTAAGCAGAGATCACACCACTGCATCCACCCTGGGCAACAGCACAAGACTCCATCTCAAAAAAAAAAAAAAAGATACTGTCCTATTTTTTGCAAAATGTTTTCATCTTGAGAAGAAGGAAAACGTATAGAGAATATCTCTCCGTATTATATCTTACAATACCATGTGAGTATAGAATGACCTTAAAGAGTAAAAGAAGGCCGGGCGCGGTGGCTCACCCCTGTAATCCCAGCACTTTGGGAGGCCGAGGCAGGTGGATCACAAGGGCAAGAGATTGAGACCATCCTGGTCAACATGGTGAAACCCCGTCTCTACTAAAAATACAAAAAATTAGCTGGGCATGGTGGCGCATGCCTGTAAGGAGGCTGAGGCAGGAGAATTGCCTGAACCCAGGAGGCGGAGGTTGCGGTGAGCCGAGATCGCGCCATTGCACTCCAGCCTGGGTAACAAGAGCGATACTCCGTCTCAAAAAAAAGAGTAAAAGAAATGTAACTGGGGAAGCAGGTGACTATGGTATCAGTCTGAATAGACTATGGACTGTTTAGGTTGAGGAGTAGATGAAGCTAAAGACTTAGGTGAGACTTCAGAAAACAGTCTAGAATGAGTTTCCTCCTTGTAAACAGCACAGGGGAAACTCAAAGCTTGGGAAGAGGGGCAGTAAATGAACAGAATAAGAAGGGGGCTAGAGAAAGACAAACTAGGGTCCAGATGGCCTGGGGGACAAACCAGTCAAGAGGCCACTTATCACCTCATTTTAGTTGTGAGACAGTGAGAGTGAAAACAGATAGGAAGGTTGTAGAAAAGAGGACTGGATGCATATCATAATAATGCCATATTGACATAAAGAATCCAAAAATCTATCCAGAGACTAAAACTGTCATTCACAAGACCTTCTTTGTTGATTCTTTTACTTTCTATGTCCTGGCTTCCAGCTTAAGTTTCCTTGGAGAGCGTCCTGAGTAACAGAAGGCTTGCTTTCAAGACCTCCTGTTTCGGTCAAGATACTACCACTATTAACTTGTAAATGTTTAAGTCTGTTCAAGGCACATTCTGAGGATGTCTGTGTTCTCCTGTTTGATAACTGAAATGGATGTGAAGGCACAAGGTATGAGTAGGAAACAGGCTTAGGGAATTTAATGGTGGTTTGGCACTGCATTGGATGAGGGGTATTTTTTTTTTTCTTCATGGGTTTGAAGGTATCAGGCCAGAAATACAGATAGGAAAAAATTCCTACAAAAGGTGACAGTAATTGAGGTATAATTAAATTGAAAGTGCCCTCCCTTTGGTTATTTTAATAAATTCAGTTCATTTATATACTCTTAGACTTGTTACTATGGAGAAGGGGAGTAAAGAGAATTGCAATTGGGCTGATAAAAAGGATTTTAAAAAAGCAATTAGAGATAGTTTTTTTTCTATATTGTTTTGTCTTAAGTTCTAGTAGTTTCACCTCCTGATGCAAGAGTACAATCAGAAAAATAAAGGAAATATAATCAAATATATAATCTCAAAAACAAAATGGTACTGCCAGCCTCTCAATATTACCTTCAATTATTTACTCGAATCTCTCCTCTCATTACTATTTAAGCTTTGAGGCCAGGCGCACACCTGTAATCCCAGCACTTTGGGAGGCCGAGGTGGGTGGATCACCTGAGGTCAGGAGTTCAAGAGCAGCCTGGCCAACATGGTGAAAGCTAGTTTCTACTAAAAAATACAAAAAATGAGCCAGGCATGATGGTGGGTGCCTGTAATCCCAGCTACTTGGGAGGCTGGGGCAGGAGAATCACTTGAACCTGGGAGGCAGAGGTTGCAGTGAGCCAAAATAGTGCAACTGCACTCCAGCCTGGATGAAAGGGTGAAACTGCAACTCAAAAAAAAAAACAAGAATATATGGTTTGAGGCTGGGCTTGGTGGCTCATGCCTATAATCCTAGCACATTGGGCGAGCAAGTTGGGTGGATCACCTGAGGTCAGGAGTTCAAGACCAGCCTGGCCAACATGGTCAAAACCCTATACAAAAATTAGCCAGACATGGTAGTGGGTGCTTGTAATCCCAGCTACCCGGGAGCTGGAGGTTGCAGTGAGCCAGGATTGCACCACTGCACTCTAGCCTGGGCAACAGAGTGAAATTCTGTCTCAAAAAAGAAAAAAAAAAAAGAAATTAGGCTTTGCAGGGAAGTGTGAGTAGGTGCTAGCACAGCTGCGGTACCAAGGTAATCTGAAAATGCCAAAGCCTCTATCACAGGTAGCATGGAACACAGGTTTTTAGTTACTTTTCTTCTGCTGCCAGCAATGACTCAAAAGGTAGAAAATGAAATATTTGGCTTAAAAAGAACATTTAGACAACAGAAGACAGACCTGGGATCCCTCCAGGTTGAACGTCTGAGCGTTGTGACAGAGAAGCATGACATCCTTCTCCAGGTCGCCCAGGCTCCGGTACTTGTGGTTACGAATCCTTTCCTAATGGAAATTTTGGAGAAAATGGAGAAAGAAAAGAGGGAGAGGAAAATACAGCAATCATTACTTAGTTAACAAAGCCTGATTTTCCCTTTGTCTTCACAGCATAAAGGCCTACCAGGGACGTGGGACTGCACAACCGCAGGGGGCGCCATTCACCAAATCCACCCTCCCACTATCATTCCTTTTTTTGCAAAGAGGAGCATAAATGGGAAATAAGAGCAATAGTGGGGGCGGGAGGAGCAGGGAGTCTGAAAGGTCTTCAGTACAATGTTATAACATGCGCTCTCAACTTGATAAAGTAATATTCACGTAAAGGCACAAGCACATCCCAACTTTTCCTGTGGCGAGCCCTGAGTGGGCATCAGTGACAGCTCCAACTATCACTATTTCATGAATTTACACTGCTCCTTTATTTACTTGAAGAATAAAGTTGAAGAATAAAGAACAAAATATCTACCTTGATTTTTTTGAAATCCACTGGCTTCCTAATTAATTCATAGTATTCTGGCAATTCTTTCCTTGAAGGTAACTGAATGAAGACTTCACTGAGCTGTCGCCCTGAACTGTAGGATGGGTGAAACAAAAACAAGCCACATCAAACACTACTGAGGAAAGGTTTTACTTTTCTTTCAGAAAATGTCAACAAAGCAAATTACATTCCATGCATACAGATATGGAGCTCTTTAAGTCAGGGAAAATCCCACAACTGTATTGGAGATGAATGTCCCTTGTGCTAACTTCAAAATCACAGTAAAATGCAATTTGGTCCTCACTTCTGTCACACACATGAGAAGTCCACTGTGGATTTCCCTTTCAGAGCATATACATCTCTTTATTTTGATAGAAAGATTTAAAGTATCCTTGTTAGCTAAAAATTTCATTTTTAAATCTATATATATATGTATGTGTGTGTGTGTATACATATACACACACACACACACACACACACACACATACCAATTATTATTTCCATACTTTATTTCAAACTTTATTTCCATACTCCTTTGTTCTCAAATTCACCTTGTATTAAGCAAGTAACTCAAAATAATATGTTAGAGTGTACTCTGGAAACTCAAGGAAAGCTTTCATATGTACCTGGTGACTGACCATCTTCTTGGTCTTATTCCTTTTAGGGTATTTTACATACTGTAAACCACACATACCTTTATTATTATTTGCTAGAGGAACCCCTTCATCTTGCCTAACTGCCCTTCTGGGTGTCTGCAGCAATTTAGGTGAAAAAAGAACATGTTTCACAAGTGTGGATCCTTCACGTTTCTAAGGATAGTGCTGCGCCCTCCCCCAAATAAATGGCAGGTTTATTTGAAAGCAGGTTTAATAGCAACAATTGCTTAACATTTTTGTAATTTTGAAACACAGGCTACAAAGCAGTGCGAGCTTTTACCCTCACTGTTGGAAGCAGACTTGGTTAAAGGAACAAAGAAATTCATAATTTAGGTTCAAGATCTTAATATCTGATTTGGCCTACTCAGATCAATAACAGCTTGTGGTGTGTGATATAGTCAATTTTCACAAAAATCTCACGCCCCTTATGATGCCATCTCTACTTCCTTTGTGAAGCCAGAAATATCAGAAAATAATCATAAATCACTGCCATGAAAATTTCAGAAGGTGATTCTAGGAGCTTGTAAGAATACTAGAAGGCAGTGGGAAAGCATGAGTGACAATACGCTGTTTTAATCCACAGTCCCAGTTGTGTAATTAAAAAGTAATCATAATGACAGTTATCATAAAAAAGGCATGCGCAGTAACTCAAATGGTTGCTTAGCAACCAGTGGGAAAAATGCTGAAGTGCAAAGGGGCCTGCATAAATTAGCCGAAAATCCTCTATCAAAGATGGGCTAGTTTTTCTGCTACACTGGGTCACTGTTTTTATTTTTTCAATGCACATATGGGCCTCATAAATATGAAAATCAGGGGCGAAAACAAGGTTTAAGACGACTGCCGTTTACTCGGGCATTGGATTTTTGAATCACTGTGACAAGAACCAAGGTGTTGTTCTCTCACCCTCTCCACCATCCCTACCCCGCATGCCCCTTCCAGGCTGAGAAACGCGTTTGTACTTCTCTTATGTATACCACAAAATATATGGCAAAAACCGTTTTATTTACCATGACCTTCAACACAGGGCCACACTTTCTGGTCTGTTTTGTTTCTACCATCCTAACATTTATACACCCAAACATTTTACCTTTTTGGAAAGGAGCACATGAAATGCAGTGAGTGTAATCTGTAGATACGAATTGTTCAGTTTCTATGGGCAACTTGCTTAAAATTAGCATTCTTTATAACCTAGCAGCAACCCAAAAGTCAGACCTCTTTGTAATTGCAGATTTAACACCTGACCCTCCCTCAATGACATCTTGATGGTGTCATTTTCTACTCTGCCAACAGATGGTGTCATTTTTCTGTTGATGGATTATAAGCACATCTTTGCTTTGTACACCTATGATGGACTTATACACCTATGATGGACAATACTCTTAATTTCAACTGTGCTATTGGTGAAATAAGAAATAAGCAGTTTGGATGAATAATGCAACAAAGCTCAAAGGGGTAAAATGGCTACAACAATCTTGGTATGACATCTCTGTCTTCACTAAGGCCCTAAAAACTCTAAACCCTGTAAAGAGTTCTCTATGCTCATAAAGAAGACAGCTGAATGCTCTGAGACTTGGGGCCAATACTATAAAATGAGAAATAAACAAACACATTTGTTCTGCTTTAAAAATAAAGGCTCACTGCACTTAATATGCCTGTGCCATTTTCTTTTTTCCACTTCTAAGAATAAAGAACAAGGGCAAAAGAAGAAGCCGGAAGTTCTCCACGGAATATTTATTGGACTATGTTGTTTTCGTCATGGAAATATCTCAGAGTCTGGCTTCCAAAGTCCTCCAGGATATGTCCTCCTTCTCTACAATCCCAACTGGTACCACCAACCTTCTCTTCTTGTCAGGCCAGAGTCTGTCCTATGTACCCCTACCTTTCATGACCAATCCCCACTTTATGACCCATTCCAGGTCTCTAGGCCTGACCTCTCTCTCACTTCATAGCTGGAAGGTTCTCTGTGTTTTTTTCTCCCCTCCAAATGTTTCATTATCCATCCAGGATCAAGAACCCATTGTCCATAAAAATGGAGTAAATTCTCCTAAATATCAGCTACACTTGCTCTTAGTCCCCTCACTGCTCAGAAATTAATTATTCCAAGTCTGTTACTGTTTCTCTCCTCTCCACAGGGTGGGAATCTCTTACACACATCAACACGTCCCTCTCCCTACCGCAGCAAGGGCTTGGATGACCAGCTTCAGCAGAGAAAGTCAGGAGGTCCTGGGCAGTACCTAGCTCCCACATCACCTATAGAACACACTGTCATAGCACGAACACTTGCTACAGTAATTTTTTCCCCTAAATTATTGGTTTTAAAAAAAAGTGACCAAGGAAGTGAAAAAGTCTGACAGAGTTTTGAATTCTTCGCATTTCTTTCTCTATTATGAGCTGAGTGAGGTCTTTTTAATACACCTTTTCAAATGTGGTGGTTTCTCCCCCTGCACCCACAGCCAGAAAGTTGCCTTTTTCCTTTCTAAGTACAGAACAATGGTCTAATTGTACCATGGTGTTTACAGAAGGTGTTCTGTTTCTGTTAAAAAGCTTATCCTACCCCAAGGTGTTTTCCATTATGTCATTTTACATAATTTAAGGCCTAAACAGAAATTGCTACTTGGAAAGTACACTACTTCCCAGACAAAAGTGAGGGAGGGGTCCCCAAGACCACTGATGGCTTGTGACATCAGATGGGTTTTACATAATGATATACCTCAGACTAGAAAGTATGGCTTTGATAACATATGGGGTAACTGGGGGAGGGGTATAACCTGAAATACAAGTTTAAAGGCACTCACTGGACTTACAGTTCACAGGGGCTGCTGGACAACTCCCTCTCCTCTACATGGAAGTGAACAGACACAGCGACATGGCCATGATACCATAGAGTACGAGATGGAGAAGCCCCACCTGCCATTGTGCAATGGTAGTTTGAACTCCTGTATGCATGGCTTATATACACACATTACTGAGATTTAATTTGTTGTGCTTCGTCTGGGAATCTTTTTCTCATTACGTCCACAAACCAAAAGGCAATAGTAATTCCACATCTATACAATGACACTCAACTGGTGACTCCATACATTATAAACTTCACATAAATGTCAGCGTTAGCTTTGATTACATTTCCGTCTTAGAGGCATGCTGTAGGCTGATATGCTAGTTGAGAAACTATGTGTAGTAAGTATACTGGTTAGATCTTTTAATGATTTTTTTTTCCAGCACCAGACCAAAATTGCTATTTAGTGATGGTCTTTTGTTTATGATTTTTCTTTTTCACCAGCCCAAGCTGATCTGTTGACCGGAATTCCTAACAGATACTGCTGAGAAAGAAATCTTAACCGTAGCCAAAATAAATTTTCTTGATATTAGTCAATAAAGGTAAAAATGTGACTGTCTTGCCCCAGTAAGAAAATGTCATGATTTAGAATACTCACTTGAGGTTGGAAGTATTTTACAGAAAAGCTATCAGAATCCTGAAGGAATCAAACGTAGCAAAATCATTTGGGAAGAAAACTTTAAAAATTGGGTCAACATTGCAGGGCAGTAGGTGAAGTGTGCCGCTTTTCAGGTTCAGGTTCTTATGAAGTTTAGTACATATCATTGAAGAATTTACTAAAACACAGTAGTGCCCCTACTTATCAAGAGAACCTGAAGAAAACTGAGGCAGTCATGAAGCAGGTGTTAAAAGCATCTGCATTCCATATTTGCTAGTGAGATCTCTCATCTCAGCCTTATTGAGTATTGATTGGTGATAATTCCTAACAAGCATGGAAATATAATCACCGAGACTCTTGAAGCAACAGCAAAACACGGTAGGATGGGAATAGACTTGTTTTTGGTCATGGAATTAGTAGCTGTTAAAATCACCCCAATGGTAGGGCACAGTATCTCATGCCTGTAATCCTGGCACTGTGGGAGGCTAAGGCAGGCTAATCACTTGAGCTCAGGAATTCACGACCAGCCTGGGCAACATGCAGAAACCCTGTGTCTTTTGTTTGTTTGTTTGAGAGGGGCTTTCTGGCAAAAACTGGAAAGCCTGCTAGACAAATTCTAAAAGAGCTGCAACACTGAAACCCCATCTCTATAAAAAACTACAAAACTTAGTCAGGCATGGTGGTGTGTGCCTGTAGTCTCAAGCTAATTTGGAGTCTGAAGGGGGAGGATCACTTGAGCCCAGGAAGTGGAGGTTGCAGTGAGCTGAGATCATGCCACTGTGGTCCAGCCTGGTCAACAGACCCAGACTTTGTCTCAACAGCAACAACAACAACAACAAAAATCACCCTAACAGTTATAAAAGACTATAGATAAATCATGTCCCTGAGTTATCAAGACAAACAAAGTTCCATGTTAGGAGACTGAAAAGGTTCACTCAAGCTCAATAAGGCACCAAGACTTTGTCCAGAGTCTTAAAAACAATCACACTCTGATAAATGATTTT